GGAACGCGGAAGGGAGGGGAGGGCAAAGGTAGAGTAAGAGTTAGAGGGTGGAAGCCACCAACCACGCAGCAGAACAATAGGAAATAAGTCGGAAGAGAGAAAAATGGAAAAAAGAGGATAGAAGAAGTCAAATAGTGGAAAAAAGAAGAAAGCGAAATGGGAAGAGAAAGAGAAAGAGAAAGAGAAAGAGAGAGAGAGAGAGAGAGAGGATTGGGGATGGGGCTGACCGGAAGAGGCAATGCATCCAAAAGCAATCCAAGCAATCAATCAAGGGCACCACAACTTTAACTTCCCATCCTTCCCCTTAGTCTTGTTGCTCCTCTATTATCTGGATGACCCGCCAGCGCTAGAACATGGTGGTTCTCACCTTAATTCTATCCCATTCGTCTGTCCGGCATTAATTAAGCCCGCCCTAGTTTGGAGTCAAGCCTCCCCTAGTGGCCTGGCGGTTGGAGTATCAACCTGAACCTTTTTGCTGCTTGCTAGTCCTACGACTAGATGGATACTACTACTGCTACTTGCTCCAGTGGGCCGCGTTGGATCTCGATGATCGTCCTCTCACGCACGACCTATCGATGATTTATCCACGTCTGTTGGGAAAATCCGTTCTCTCCCCCTGCCCAGGCTCATGATCCCCATCACGGAGGAGGTTTCGGAAGGTGCCGACAAGATGGATACTACAGCCCGTACGTAGTATACAACTGTACACTCCGGCCGGTGGTGGCTAGCTGATTGCCTCCCTCCTTCTCTCCCATGAGATCACATCACTCTATTTTTCCGCCACATTGTCACCAGTCGTCACTCTAAGTATCACTCTTATCCAGACCCATCCACGGATCAGATTACGACCAGCAGAAGTTCATCCTCCTGCCAAGAGGCTTGAGCACAAGACAAGGGAATAGTTTCCTCCCCGCCAAGCGGGGACGGCGTCATTCTCAGCCACGGCTTCTCCCCGACGACAGTATAAGCCATGGTTCCGTGGGTGTCCGCTCAATCACAATGCCTAGGGCATTGTCTCAAATAAAGTAGAAGCTAGTCCCGACATTCTGCTCGGAGGCTGTAACAGCGTCATGAATCAGGCCAGCAGTCTGGGTGCATCCGGAGCCGTGGGTGGGTGGATCCGCCCGGCTCCGAGAAATCTATCCTTCACACTGTAAAAACCCGAGTGAACGATCTCCGAGTCAGGGTGGCCATACTTGCCTTGATCGTTCAATCCATGAATACGGTGCCTGCGGATGCTGCTAGGGAGATCCCTGCGCAAATCCCGAATGTTCTGTGGTATTTTGACTCGTGAAGACGCCGACAACCACGGCATTGTAGCTAACCTAGGCTTATACGGACTCGTAAAGTATTAGTGTTCATAACATTGCATTCTTGCTCCTCCACCTCTAGAGTCATGGCAATTGCAGTGGATGCGGTCAAACCTTCTTTGAAGGGCCAGCAACCACTAACGCCGTCCCATTGCCACGGGCGACTCCGCCAGCCCCAGCTGGGATCCACTTGAAGCCGCCAGAATGCTCCTCGGCTAATCTGAAACTGCCCCTATCCAATGACACCACCCGATCTGGGAAACATTTGCCGAGACGTTCGTTCACCCACGCACTCGGAAAAGCTCTGAACCAGCTCTGGGGTCCCCGTCTGTCACCGGAAATGGGGTTATAGCACCCGCTGTGAACTATAGCAGGGACGACTGGACGACATCCATGATGCTGTCGCTCAGCCAGCAAGGCGAGCTGGGGGAATATTGAACCTAAACTGCGCCAAGGAGATTTTATGGGCCGCATTTGCGTCGTCGTTGTTGTCGTCGGCCGTAAGAAATGGCCACCACGACGGCGTGGCCTCGCAGGGAGGCAAATTGGATTCGGGTCAGTCGGATGTTCCTGATCGACACTGAGGGTTTGACAGCTGAGTAGGCTGAGTGGCCTCCGCTGGTGACTGGTCGCCGTCCACCCAGATCTAGCTGGGGCCACCAATCTAACCGGCACTGGGCGACTCTTGACGGCCCTAGTCTCAGCCGTAGGTCCCCTAACAATTTTATCGCCTCGTACTTCGACGCATCGCTGCGGCCCACATTTGCCCTAATTCACGGCACTCTTTACATGCATCCCTTGTCTGCGACGAGAACAAGAAGAATCTGAAATATTCAAGGAGAGACAGAGAGAAGAGGAGCTTACCTACTGTCGGCCGGTCGGTACCTGAATTTGGTTCGCCGCTGGAAACGTGGCAGAGAAAAGTAAGGTTTTCTGAGAACTGGTGCCGACGGTCGCACGTTGTCCCCATCCACCATATCCATGATTAAACAGGTAACCACCACGAACTGTGGACCAAAGGTAATAATGCACTCTCAAAGAAGGCAGGCGTCCGGAGAAGATGTGGGTGCCTCCATGTGGACAGTATGTTTGCTTCTTAAAGTGTGCCAAAAACGGACGGTTCCCCTTTCCATGCGGACCCGGCATGAGGCATCTGGCCCTGATCTTTCTTCTCCCACCACCAATCATAGAGGCTATGGAAATTAATCGTACCTTTCTGGAAGAGCCCGGAGCCTCAGGCGGCTGGGACAACGGATATGCGGAGGACCAACTGCTCCGTCCGTGGAGGGGAGCTGTGGCTAGTCAATCAAACAACTTGGGATTTAGGGAAATGAGGCCCATATGGAGACTGCTCATAGGCTGCGCAAACTAGGTAATCTCTGGGCTACCTGGTTCATCAGGACGATCCTTGCAGTTCTTTGAAACGGAGGGTAGGCAATAATATGCTCTTTCTCCATCCTGGGATAATTTGGGACGCTCTTGTTGATCAATAAACTATGAATAGAGTGATCTTCCTTGCTATTGTGAATTACTTTTTATCCGGACTTGTATGCATGAATGATATGCAGCCATTGGCCAGTCCGGACCTGCGCTCATTGTGACTGCACGAGTCTTCGAGGGTAAAGGTGTGCAGGAAGCCCCGGGCATGGCGAATGGCATGTGCCGCGGGTTCACTAGTGTTCGGGGAACATAGTCGGGGATCTCCAGTCACCCAGGGACCCAATCAGCCAGTACTTTGTAATAGCAGACAGCTCCACCACAAGTAACCCTCGGGATTTCCGCTGAATAATTTCTGGACCTAGACTATAGTACTCACGCACAACTTATCGATCAGAGAACGTTTTCGAACGGGGTCTGTAATGGGGCACGGCGGATATCAGATCACGCGGAAAGGCCTCAGAATGCGATTGCTTCCACTCGATGATTGCTGCTAGGGGAGCAGATCTAGATTCTGCAGATCATCACATTGATGTTTTTCTTCCCGTAATCCCCATTCTCACTCTTCCAGTGGTCGAGAGTCATGGCAGCGCAACGAGAAACGCAAGAGCCACCAGAAGAATACGAGTACGTGCTATGATCCGGGCCGCAGGCCGGAAGTCAACCAAGTACCCAGCTGGATTGGGCCGCTAGTTAATTCTGTTTCCGGTGAAGCTATGCTGCAAATGGGGCGAGTAAGGGCAAGGGAAAGAGTTCCGTGTTGCTAGTACGGTGGCCACCAGTAGAAGTGCCGAGCCACGATCCGTCCAGCGTTGTTCCATCACCATATCATTGTCGTCTGAGTGGAGCCAGCGCGCATACCTTCCCAACGCAGGATACTAGACGTTTTTCCTCGAGCCCACTTATGATGTTACCCTAGCATAGATAGTGTACGTGGGTACAAACTAGCAAGGGCCACAGCAAAAGCACTTTGTCTTCGGGGGGGACGGAAAAGCCGCGATGCACATCAGCCGTTGGATCCTCACGTTGGCCTATCAATGCGTCGAATTAGCTGGAAAGTGCATTAGGGGAGGGGAAGGTTTCATCCGTCGGAGGCCCCCGTCGTGACGTGCCATCGAAGGTGATGTATTCGTGTCGAGGGTAGAAACTGTGGACCAGAGGGCTCATTCAGAGTTACTGGGACCTGTTTAAGCTCCGCTTTACTGAGTCGTTCAGACCAGAGGGCCAACTCTGCAAAACATCCAGATATGAACAGTAGCAGCCATGCCAAGTAATCATCCCTGTGAAACAAGAAATTGAGTCTCTGAAACTAGCATCAGTAGTAGGCACTGGAACCTGAGGGAGGAGAAGGGGAAGGGATCGAAAAGTGGGGAGAGAGCAACCAGGCGGAGACCAGGCATGGCATGACCTTCCTTAGAGTAAGGATTTAATCTCTTCTGGGGCGTCAACCAGACGATCTTCAACTTGTTGGGCCAATCTTGATGATGACCAGACAGGAGATTTCTGGTTTTAGTGCATTGGAGCTGCCGGTGTGTTTTCTTGCTGGGTCCAAGCGCATGCTTTGTGTGTGTGCAGCCTGAGGCCTTGTCTGTCCCTTCTGCCCGAGTTGTCTTGGGAAAGCAATTAATTCCTGCCCACTTGAGCTGCCTCTTTCAGTAAGGAAAGTACGAACGTGCTCCTTCCTTGGGCCTTGGTGCACTAGCAGGGAGCCATGCCGGCCCAGCAGAAGTACTGCCCTATTCTGGCTATTCAGTAGTAGTACTGGGTAGCGTGACTGTCCAGGGAGAAACCACGCTAAACAACCCTAGCAAATTGCTGTGGCCGTGCTTTCAACCGGTTTAGACTGGGATTTACCAGCCAGCAGTCACTTGGCAAGAGGGGAAGTAGATTCTGAAGTCCGGTCCATGCTGGAGCCACTTGATCTCGTATCTGCGCGTCCAATACGTACTACAATTACTCTAGTATCCGGTGACTATAGTGCCATTATATTAAAAGAAAAGACGGCGTCGGATGGTCTAGCCATTCATCGTGAGTCTCTCCATCCAAGGTGGTTCCCAGAGAGGGTTAAACTCCGTCCCAACAACCATATGAGGAATGTCAAACGCCCTCGTATGAAGAGCGCGCGTCCATCGCTGAAGTAGCGTTTAATAGTCGACTTATTAACCCAGCGGACATTATACATGCCTCTCAGTCCATTTCGTAGTAGTAGTAGTATATGGTATCTTAGACCCCAATAGTTAGTAACAATCATCACTCATAGCCAAAAACACTGATCCACCAGCCACACCCCTCTCACGTAAGAGCAATAAAATCTACCTGCTCTCCTTGACCTCCTGGATCGTAAGCTTCACCCCCTCAATGACCACTCCCCACTCAACCTCATGCACCTTCTGCTCAAACTTATGCAGATCCTCATCCTCCCCCTTCACAAACGGAATTTCTCTGACCAGAATGGGCTGCCCCATATCCACCTCCGAAATGACTCTATGGATCATAACACCCGTCTTATCGATTTTCCCTTCCAACCAAGCAGCATGCGCACGCTCAATAGCGTTCTATTCCAACCCAACCATCCCAGAATTACGTCAGCATGATTTCTTCTTCCCACGGATAAATTTTAGAGTGCACAAGATAAGAGGGGAACGAATGAAGAAGAGACAAATAAAATGAATAAACATACCGCCCCATTAAACGCCCCGGGCAGAGCCGGGTGCAGATTAATGATATTAATCTTAGCTTCCTCCAACGGCTCCAAGAACCTCGGCGACAGAACATGCATGAATCCCAAACAAGCCACCATTTCCGGCTTGTCAGCCAGTACCAATCGGGCCAATTCGGCGTCGTACTCTTCCCGCGCCGCCTGAATGCCCTCTGGTGTAGCAGGGTGCTGTTTCTTGTACTTCACCAGGTTGTGGTATTGCGTGGGAATGTTGGCCTGTCGAGCCCGCTCGAGACCATACGCATTCTGGCGGTTGGAGATGACGCGCACGATCTGCGTCGAGAGTTGTCCTTGCTGTGTCTTGTCTATCACTGCTTGGAGGTTGGAGCCATTGCCGGATATGAGAACGGTAAGGCGCACGGGTGTGTCCATATTGGCCATTTCTAATAATTTTGTCCTTTCTGTTGATTGGGAGAGGGAGACGTGGTTTTGGGAAAGGATCGAGGGATTAGGACCGGGGATGTTTTGGTCTCGTAGCGGGGTAGGTCGGAAATTTTCTGGAGTGGGTTCTTTTCTGGGTTTTCCCTGGCTGTAGAGGATCAGCAACTTTCACTCAATTGATCCCACGGTGAGGGGTAGGATTCGCGCACCAGGCACGCGGCGAGTCTTAGCAATGGCGCGGAGTTTAGGCCTAAGAGAGTCGGACTTCAAGGCACAATCCAACTGCGTAATGAGCCAGTGGATGGCAGCCAGACGCGGGGTGGTGAACTGCGGTGGGCTGAGTCAGCCGAGGGGCGGAGATGCGGGACTTTCGCCGGGGTTGGGCTCCGCTCCGCCACTCCCAAGTCAGTGTGTCTTGTTGGCCCAAGCTTACGGCTGGTCTCTACTCAGGAGTACAACGACGGATAGCTTTTCAATCTCAAAATAACAGGCTGTATGCAACTAATATGTACCAAGTCAACTGTTATTGCCGTGACTGCCCTGGCCAGAAACCCCTGCTACCAATGCGCAATCGCCCAAGAGCCGTAGCTCAACCAGAGAGGGGAATAATACAAAAGGGAAGAGACCAGTAAACGAGAACTCAAAGACTGAAGTGATGTCACAGGAGCCAGATATCATGCACTCAAGTAGGTCCCGTATTTATGGCAGACTGCGGCGGGCCACAAAACTGCAACCACTCTGACATGCTTCACGCGTCAGCTGCCACACTTCCTTGAGAACCCATCTCCCACGGCCCATGACCAGAAAAGACCACTTGCTTAATAAAACAAGAAAAGTGTTCGCCGTGCCTGCCATCCGTGAAGTGGAAAATAAACCAGTAAAAGACGTTCGTTAGGGTATGAGATAAGACGCTTCATGCTAAGCTTCAAATAAGTCAAGTTTATGTGGAAAGATGATGAATCGAAAGAGAATGACCAACGCAGCGCATGTCCTCCTACTTACGCTGCTGCTGCGCTAGGTGCATCAGGCGTGGGTTGATTATTCGACGTCTCGGCTACACCCTGGCCTCGGCAAAGTGGGCATGAATTACGGCCCGTGGTCAACCACTGGTAGAAAGTCAGTCAGTCTTTGAACCCTCCGAGAAAAGAAGTGGACGAACCTGATCAATGCAATCCCGGTGGAAAAGGTGTTTGCATTTGGTCAGTTGCCGAAGCTCCTCAGCCGCCTCGTAGTCACTGAGACAGATCAAGCACCGCTCGCCTTCGGGAAGTTGGATGGCGCCAGCGCCTTCCAGACCTTCTGCAACCAGCGAGCCGGCATACTCCACAAGGCGGAACAGTCCACCGGCCGTAGAGAGATCCTCCTGGGTCGCAACAGGTGGCTTGACAGGCCCAAGCAGAGACGAGAGCAAGATCATGTCTTCGTACGTTGGATTCTACACACGCGTTAGCCACAAAACGCACCGACCAGGGAAGAAAGAGGTTGAGCGAAAAGGGTTAGAGTTGAGATTTCTTACATCAGTAAACAGACTTGGCGTTGCAAAAGCAGGGTGATTCTCTGAAAGATTGGTCCCGACAACGTAGATCAGCCAGCTTCTTCCCGTGGGTGGTGTAGCATTGTCGGGTTCTACGACGCCGTTACGCCGGACAGCACCAGACCCTAGGTCACGATGGCGTGCATATTCTGAGTCACTTCGGCGTCGCTGGCGCGTATTCAGCGGAATACCGTCTTCAGCGGGTTCAACCGTGGGTTGCATCGATCGGTTGGTGTCAATCGGAGGCAGGGTACCTGGTGACATGGCCGAAGCAGTCGAAGGTCTCCGACTAGGAGTGGACGCGCTGGATGACACGGCGGATAATCCCGGTTCAGCTGGCGTTGAGGGAGGAGGATGGGGACCTGGAGGGCTTTCCGAAAGCACCGAAGGGGCTGCAGACAGTGAGCCTAATGGGGCCCGGGTGCCCGCGTCAGACAGCCGCCGCAGTGGGGTCGGTCCTCCTTGTGAAGAAATATCACTGCCCGTGGGAAGCCCTGTAGGATGCTGCTCGCCCTGGAGCCGGATAGGTGGAAGCCTTGGCCGCCCATCTGGACGTGGCGGAAATCCAGAGCCGTTCTCGTGATTGCGTGCTAGATTCCCAGGCGTTAGGAACGGCAAGCGGAGCAAGGCATCCAGTCCAGTTCCTGGATTACCTGGCTGATCGCCGCTAGGGCCGTTGCCAGAGGGGACCGATCGTACACCAACCACTACGAGAGTAACAGTACGTCCTTCAGGTCCATCGGTAGGGTTGTCCACATCCATTCCGCCGCCGTTGTTATCGGTGTTATCAGCGTTTGCCGTTGGACGATTCAATGGACCGCCGGGTCGAGTACCATCTGAATTGGCAAAGCGGAAGACTCTCAGGAAGTTAACCGGGGTCGGAGGACCGTTGTCGCCTGCCGCACTCTCTCCTTCGTTGGGGGCCGTCTGGGTGGACGTGGCGTGCTGTAAGCTCTGTATGAAATTATCCAACGAACCATCAAGGCCATCATTACCCAGAGCCTGAATGTTGGGCATAACTGGACCAGCCGTGCCAGAGAGCTGAGCGGCAATGGCGGCAGCGGCCAGTTGAAGGACACGCGACAAAGGAGTCTGTTCCTCTCGACGCATGGCTCGAGATGGTCGTGCTCGCAGCAATCCCGGGAGTTGCCGTAAGCCAGGTGGGCCTTGTGTAGACTGCGATGACATAGGCGAGGTAGGACGGGTACTGCCTACAGCAGGTTCTACCGAATCAAGCTCATGGGGCTCATCAAAGTCCATCTGGCTATCCATTGACCTTGAATAAGGAAGAAATCCGTCGGCGTCCTCACTAGAGGCTGGGTCCAGGGGTGGTTGTGGGATCGGTCCTGATTCTTGGGCGGATGCGTTCGGGAAAGATTGGCCGAACATGTGGCCAATTGGTCCTGACAGTGAGTTTCGGACACGATGCAGCCGAGCACTGCGGCGCCATGAGCTTCGCGTCGGTTCTGGGGTGATCTCTGTGGTAGGGTCGAGGAATGAGCCGGAACGAGCGGGATCTGACGAGAGAGTTGGATCATTGCGGGGGATGAAGTACGGCCCACGTAAGGAGCGTCGCCTAGAGACGTTTCTCGAGCTGAGGGAATTGAACGGGCTAAAACGGGCGCTGCTATGCGTGGCTTCCGATCTTGGAATCGTCCTTGACACGATACCGTGGCGATGGGCGTGACCTTCTGCTGGTGTTTCTTCTTCGCTGCTTAGCAATCCACGGATCACCGAATTAGGAAGGATCCTAGAACCCAATCGCGACATGGTTGACTGTCTTCTGGCAGCCATTCGGGCAAATATATCCGATCGATATTCCCGCTGGCCTGGCTCATATTGCGGGTCGTTCTCCTCTTGTATTGTTCTCATATGTCGTTGTTCATCACCTGAAAGGTTGGGATGCCATATCTCGGCAGAAGGATCCGGATGAGCGGGGGCTCCTGAAGTTGTTGGAGTGTTGTCATGGTCTGTCTCTGTTCCCGACCGGGGCTGGTAGTCCCCAGTCTGCTCCGTGTTGTAGCTGTTATTCATTGCTTCATCCCTATTTCTGCGGACACGGATCGCGTGGAAAGTAGGAAAGTGTTCTGGAGGGGTACTGTGACGACGATTTCGTTGTGTAGAGGAAGACTGTCCCATAGTAACAATAACGCAAGGACGTGGCGATGGGAGTCTATAAGCCGCCTATTGCCATCGAAAAGTGGATGACTAAAGGTGCAACCAGCATTAGTAAGATGGCAGACACAGCAGTGACTCACTTCAGGCACGGTCCGATGGGCAGAAGTGAAGGCAGGGAAATCGCGACCAAGAACAGATGGTGAAGTGGTGGCCGATAAGACAGCTCTTGCAGGCAATACACTCAGACAACGCCACTAAGAAGGGTCCCGACTCCTGAGGACCCTGGAATTGGCCCTGATAGTTTCAGGCAGAACGTACCATTGGGCAGTCTTCAGTGAAATGACATAAATTCAATTCTTGTGCGAAATTATTGTTCTCGATTTGCAATTCAAGGTCGAGATGTGTTACTGCAGGCGGGCGTTGGGAAGTGAACGTGCCTGATCGCACCGTGTGGTAGGCCGTTCGGAGTCCAGGCGGCTGCGAACGAGCGTTGGGCAAAAGGCGGAAACTGGGAGGTCGGCAGAGTGAAGAGAAGCAATGTCCCCGGCTAAGAAGATCCTAAAAGGCGTAGAAAACTATCTGAAGGCCAGCCAGCAGGTGCCGATTCCTTTAAAAGGGAGCCACAAAGGGAAGGACGTGTGGTGGGATTAAACGCCGTACGACATTCGGGGGGAGCGACCCCACGACTTAACCGGAGGCTACCGTAGTTATTGCAGCTTAGAGACGGGTAAGTATGGGAGGTGTTGGCGAGACAGTTGTCCAGCAGTGAACATGAATGCCAGGGTGAAAGAGAGATCAAGAAGTGCGAGAAGCCCTGGGGGCCTCTGAGAGATGATGGAGCACGAAGGGAGCGCCCCGAGGATGAGGAGGATGACGATGATGGAGAGGAGATGATGAATGATAACAGTTGGTTTCGGTTTGGCTGCTGGTCGGGCGGTTTTGGTTTTGGTTTTGGTTTTGGTTTCGGCTTGGCTTCGTTTTGCTTACTTGACCTACAGTCCGTCCCATCTCGGCCTAGTCCCTTCACGGGAGGTCTTACATAGTAGCTTCTGATTGGTCTTAATCTTTAAGGCGATCTTGCCCGTGACTCCAACTGTCCCTGAAACGGTTTAGTGGCCCGGCGGTTTCGGCGGTTTCGCCCTCCTGGATCCGATCTAGTGTTATCTACTAATGGACTAGCGCCCAACGTGTTCAAGGCGGCATGATTTGTGGCAGTGCTGATTGGACAAGAAGTCTGAAATCAATTACCTCAGGTGTCTTTCTGCATCTGCTCCCATTTTTGGACTTCTCTGAACATGTACTGCGGACCTTCTTTACTTCCGACTCTATCCATTCTTTTCGATCGATGATCGTCGGTGATACAGATTAGTGATGGAGTATTTGTGGACGTCATTCCCATAAACAAGACATTGAATACGCTCAAGCCACTCGTCCCCATCACTTTTCATGCGGTGATCCTTGCTGTCAAGGCCCACGGGACCTCCCCGTACCTCAATAGTCCTCCTCTTCTGGAATAGGCCGTCGGCATTATTATCATCCGTGTCTCTATGGCACCTGTTCCTGCAGCAGCGGTATTCTCTTTGCCTCTCGCCCCATGGCAACAACCTGCCAGTGTGCGCGTAGCTCAGTACGAGCCTAGGAAGCGCAAGAAGGATCTCTCTGACTGGGGGGACGATGATGATGATGTTGATGGCGACACAACAGATGCGGCATCAGAGGCAGCTCCTGGTCCATCACTCACCCTCTCCCCGGATGAAGCCCATCAATATCGCATTGCTGGCCTTGCCTTCGACCAAGAATTGCCTGGGGGCAATTTCCCACATGCCCCGGTTAAAGATCAACCGACCCGTCGGCAGACACGTAACCAAGTCCTGAAAGAGTTGACTTCGTTGCCATCTCCAATCTATCCTCCTCAGTCTGCAGCCCATCAAGGGAATCTACGTCTTCAGCATCTTGCCGTGCTGTCTTCCATTTTGCACCGTTGCCTCCTGCAGAAAGACTTCGTTCGAGCGGGCAGGGCGTGGGGGTTAATCCTCCGTGAAGAAATTGGGGGCATCCCAATTGACGTCCGCACTGAAGGGAGATGGGGCATTGGTGCAGAAATCTTGCTCCGACGTGACTGCCAGGTCTCGGACATGTCTCCTGATAATGCACAGGAACGTGATGCAGAGCCGTCTGAGGCACCGCCCTCCAAACTTTTATTCACAAGGCAGGGTTTTGAAAAGGCCAGGCAGTATTACGAAACCCTCATCATTCAGCACCCATACCGAAAAGCGGCACCTGATGCTATAAGCTCACTACACTTTTATCCTGCCATGTTTGGACTTTGGGTGTATGTCACCCAAGAGGAGAGCAATATTTCTCGACAGAAAATCTGGGACGCCCATGGTGCGTCCCCTGACGATTCGGAAGAAGAAGATTCTGCGCTCGATATGCAACACCATCATGGCGCCCGACAGAAGACGCATGCGCTGATTGCCAGTGTTAGGAAGAGTGAGCTGGAACAGGCTCAGAAGATTGCAGCCAGGATGGACGAAATTCTCGGATCTCCCCCATACTCTGACTCTCCTGAGTTACTGGAGCTCCGCGGAATGATCTCTCTCTGGATTGCTGATCTGTTTGTCTCATCACTGCCATATGGGCGAACAGAGGGAGATATGGACGATTATGATTCCGATGAGACCGGTTCATCATCCGCCGAAGATCTTCAAGACTCGCTTCAAGAGCGGCGAGAGCGCCGACTTGCAGTCGAGAGGAAGGAATACGAGGTACAGAAGTCGCAGGATTATTTTTCGAAGGCCAAACAGCGTGGCAAAGGGGTCACCTCTACGTTTGGAGACCTGCATATAGATGATGATGATGCTTCATTTGGGTATGCGGATTAACGAGACATGATTAAAGATATGTATGGATGTATATCACCAACACAAAAACAAATAAATGTAAAATCAGATAATGATATTCACAAAGTATTCATAATCTATAAACTTCCCTCTCATCTCTCAGCTCATATGTAAGAAGCTAGATTAAACTGGCAGTATTGATGCCCATCGGTCACACGTGACCTCGTGTGGATGCCTCGCGCGTGCCTGAAGAATCAACGCGTTAGCCATTTTCGACCTCCTCTCAGAGCCATCGATTCAATAACCTCACAACCATGATCGGACCCACACATTCTAGATAACAATTGTAAATTGCAAGTCAATCACAATCATTCCGGCATATCCATCAGCCCCTTCCCCACTTGCTCCTTGTTGAATACTACCCTTCCATCTCCTCACCCCGCTCAGACTCGGGTAACCATGGGAGTGGGCGATTATGTGCACTCAAAAGAGGCTGGCCAGCCTCGACCACGCACAACTGAAGCCTCAAAACAGTCACGGCAGGCTCTAGCCGCACAAGCAAGGGTTGACGTCCCTCCAACAAATCTGGTGGCGCCAGTGCCCCTGTCAATCAACAAATCAATTCCCCTGGAGCATTATTCAACACCGGCATTTAGCGAGCAGATGCCTCAGGCGCCCGCGGAAAATGGCGTGCATAGAGACATGTTTGACACCGATGTGGAAGGCATTGACGACTCAACTATTGCTGCGACAAGTGTCATGGGTGCAGAGGATGCTCCACTTCAATTCCAATTACGACCCGCCACAGTTCCTCAATATCAAGAGGCAGCGCCAGTAGCGGATGAGAGGCCACTGCATCCGTCTCGATTGCCACGCCGTGCTTACGATGGCAAGTGGTACGAGAATCTTGGAGACAGCGCTATGAAAACAGCTGGTTTCGACTCAGAAGATGTCGATGATGCAAGTCAATTGACCTCCATGGCCGGAGACGATGAACGATCTGATACAACTGAGGACGGGAACTACGCCCGCAGATACAGATCCTCCACCGAGGAACCATTAAGCAAACGACTACAGAGCTTTTGGACCGCCAGTAGGAGATCTTACCAGAATCCAGAACCACAAGCATACCCCGAACCATCAAAGACTGCTGCTCCTCCTCCTCTGCGGCAATCCACATCCGACGCCAGATTATCAAAACAGGCTCTACCCAACAGGAAAGTCACACTGCCACGCAGTATGACAGCAACCCCACGGACACGCTTCAGTCCCCCCAAACCATCTCTCCTAGAACAACTGGACATAACCCCAACTCGTCGAACCTCAGGTCCTCGACCCCAACCCGGCAAAGAACCAGGAATCACCAGTACCACCAACCACCACCAGCACCACCAGCGCCACAACTCCGACGACAACCACCTCTTCAACACCAGCCGCGACAGCCTACCACCCCTAACCACCTTCGACATGACCAACATCGACGACCTCGACGTCGAAGACGATGACCACGACCCAATCAACGACCCATTCGCGCGCCGCAACTCCGTCCAACGCATCGTCTCAGACGACCCCGACTTCCAACCCACCAAGAGCACCATCACCATCGGCCCCAGCACCAAAAACAAAAAACGAAACCTCGAATCCGACTACCCGCCCGAAATCCTGCGCCAAAAATCCTTCAAGGACCTTCAATCCGAACCCTTCGACCACACCCCAACCGCACCCGCTAAATCCACCCCGACCACCACACCAGCCCCCAACCCAGGCCCCAACGCCACCTCGGACGAGAAAATAGATTTCTTACTAAACTCCGAAGACAAAGACCGCCGCGACTTCTTCTCCACGCTCACGATGAACGAATGGGAAGATTACGGCGATCTCCTCATCGACCAATTCAGCAACGCACTTTCCAAGATGAAAGATCTCCGCCATGCAAGACGGAAAACGGCGGCGTTGTTTGAGGCGGAAATTGCGAGGAGGAATGAGGTTGTTGAGGAGCAGTCTGCTGATTTGACCAGGAAGTTGGAGGAGATGAGGAGTGGGGGGGCGGAGGTGTTGAGGGGGAGAACGCCTTGATTTTATTTAATATATGTTATAGGTGAGATGTGTTGACTTGCATATAATTAATGGCCTTCTTCGGCGAATGATGTACTCGCTTCTCTTGATTCTTTTTCTTTCTCTTATTATTTCTATTGGGGTTGTAGCATGTGCTTGCATGGGCTAGAATATGCACCTTATCACCAACATTTCTTCTATCATGGTTTTCATTCATTGTTATAAGGTTCAGACTGTATTTGTTTGTTGTTGTTTCGGGTTATTCAAGGTTTTATGATAGAGCTTACGCCAGGATGACCACTTTTCTTACTATACCATGTTTTTACTGCTTTGTTATGTATGGTCTTTGCTGAACAATCCTCATATCACCATTATCAATAAGCAATATCATTATACCCCACAACTATACTCCCCCAAATCATAGATTGAAAATAAAACCTGCATTTGATTAAACACTAGCACTGCTAGCTACGCCTTTGACCCAAATGGCTGCACATGCAAGACCTGACTGAACCTGGACACTTAAAAACACTGAACACCAGCAGTGGTCTACAATCTCAATGATATAACACACGCAGAAACACGGAACGCGAAATCGTCATGGAGAAAAAAAAAGGATACAACGAAGAGGGAGATAGTATGAACAACCATGTGGGAATCATATGCTTTAGGAAAAGAAATCGGAGAGGAAAGAATTCAGTCAAGTTCAGTGGTTCTGTTTCGATAGCGCTGCTGCAAGGCGCTTGTAGTCATCCAGCAAAACAGATACATCGGCGATGGTAAGCTCGTTGGCATTTTGCATCTGGAGGAAACGTTGAATAGGTGGGTCCACCCGCTCTACACGGGATGGGGCGCTGGGCACGCTCGATGAGGAAGTCTCGCGGGAGAGGATAGAGGCTCTGATTCTTTCGGTGGGAGTGTTGGGCGATGGCATTGATCCAGGAGTGTCAGGAGTTCCAGGGGCACCACGTCCGAAGTTGCGGATCATACCGGGGATGTGGTTGAGGGGGTTGAGGGTGTTTCCAAAGTTCCGCACCGATTCAAGCGGTGTAGGCGGCTGCGTAGTTGCGCTTGCTGGGGAAGCCTGGGGCTCTTCCTTCTGCGGGCCTTGAGAGACAGTTGCTTTTCTGGAGCTTCCCTGAGTCCGAACACTCTCGACACTCCGGTCACGTGGTGTTCGCTGACCGCTGACCAGCCCTAGGAATGTATCCTCCGCCTTCGAACCGATGCGCCTTAATTGCGGGCGATCAACGGGACGAGATTCTCTTCCGGAATTCTCGTCCTGGTTCAGACTAGGTTCCGTAGATATAGGGTTGGTGACCAGACGTCGAGCATCTGCCAAGGTCTTGGGCAGTACCGGATTCCCATCTTTGACAGGGAACTGATTGGACTGCAACTCTTTGAGGCGGCCAAACAGGAAGTTGAAGCTGCTGTCTAAGGATGCTCCAATGTTCTTGAGCCCCTGGTCGGCAGTGTTACGAACAGCATCGTTCGCAGCGCCGAGCACCTTGGCAGGGGGCTGGAAGAGGTTGTTCAGCCGCCGTTGTTGGGTGCTTGCCGATGACTGAGGTCTGGGCAAGCTATCGGACGCTTCTTGTCCAACTGGCTTGGAGAGTTCAGGTGAGGCTGTCACTGGTGTAACCGACGATACTGCTGCTTCCTTGGTGGCAGTAGGAGACGGGAGAGAGTCGACCTTTCCGGCCGCAGTTGAATCATCATTGGATGCCTTGGTCTGGCCTTCAAAGGCCTCCTCGCCGCGCAATTCAGACAGATCTACATTTTCAAGAAAGCTAATGGCCGCTTCCAGGTTAGTCAAGCAATATGCGGTTTCACCGTCTATCTTATTGGACGACCTAAACCGCTGGATGAATTGTAGGTTGCTTATAACGTTGATCCCCTCAGGAGGGCAAGTGATCAAGGAATAGATCAGGGTAGGCAATATCTCGTCAGCAGAAGAGGATGATGGCAGGAGCTTAGTCAAGGCATCAACTATGGCCTTGTGCGCGGCGGCAAGTTGTTGAAGTTTGCCCAAAGGATACTTGTCATCGTTCATCTTTGCCAAGCAGTCTCGCGCAGCAGAAAGACATTCATCCGCTTCTTTTTGCTTGTCTTCATCAATAGCACTCAGGTCGACCTCGACACCGAGATCCTTCAGATTAATGCCAACTACAGAGAGAGCCGCTGTCTTTGAACGCAGTTTCTCGTCTCTGATTTCATCCAATGTACTTTTATGTCTCCATAGCTTGTCGTAGATAGTCTCACACGCTCTCCGTTCCACGGCTTCTTCCAAGGCAACACGCTTGGTTGCAAGATGCTTTCGCGCGATCCTCCTTTCAGTGACTTCTGATGCTGTCAACATCTGGCGGCCATCTGAACCTGTATTACTAGACTTGCCCTGCGCGGCACGGTACGGAGAAGGGTCACGGTTTATCCGGGAAGCAAGAGTAGAGATATGAGTAGCTATGTGTGATTCGGCTCGGACGTAGAATTCTTGGAACCGGCTCGATACTTTCTCGATTGTGGGAGGAGAGGAGTGTACCTTGGCAGTGAGAGAGTGGACAAATCTGCCAGTAATAACGTCAGCATCACATCAACGTGTAGGGAGAGTAGAGGCCCGACTGTACCTGTCTGTCATACTTGCGAGCTCTATTGGTAGTTCCTCCGTGTGACCCAAGCTACCTCGAGAGAGCACCGAGGTCTCCTCACTCTGCTGCGCATCGTCGCCGTAGCCTAAGTCGGCAGAGCCTGATTTCTCGAACAGGTCAGGGCTGCTATTTCGGTCCTCCTCGGCCGTGGACAAGGGTAACGGGAGTGCCTCGGCGTCTACCGACTCTGGTATTGCCACGGACTGAACAGTCTTGGCTCTGGAACGAACGAAAGGGCTCGTCTCGGGAGTGTCCATCCTTGGGAACGAGCGGGCCGTGTGTAGGCGCGGCTTTGCAGCGCCATCGTCGGCAGAATTGGCAGACATGGTAATATTAGAAAGAGTGACAACGGGGTATCAGTCCGACAAGTGTTGGGCTTTCAGCTGCTCATATGATCGGTTCATACGAATGCAGCAGTTGGGGCCGGTGCGTATAGATGACACCTGGAACTTTAATCTGGCAACCCCAACCGAACGGACGGGTCAGGGGGAGAGGGTAAGAACTAGATCTGGGTGGGATTAGTTGTCCAAACCACACATCATGAGCAAACTACCTCGCAGGCCAGTTTCAAAAGACGTCAGACCTCCAAGAAGATGAGAGGAAAGTCAACAATCAATAGTGGCTCATGATTGCGCGGCGGAGTAAGCGTCGGCGAAACCCAAAAGCGGCGGACGTCACGCGCCAATCACGTGTGGCAGTCACGCTTTCTCCGCAATCGGGATTCCCGATGCGGCCTGTCACGATAAGTGATCTTCGCCTAGCTTGGAGTCTGTTTTGGATGCATTCCTACCGAGTGAACATGCGAAAGAGTTCGAGTTCATTCCAAAGAGATAAGGTATCAATTACGCAACTATCTTACTATTCGTTTACATTCGTGGCTATGTCAAACAAGCAGGACTAAATGAAGCGTCAATTGAGTAAATAGGTATCATAGCTATCTAACATTCATCATTCTATGATGACTATGCACGTGGACCAAAGAACAAGGCTAAATAAGAACAAGGGTAAGATACTATATTTTACAGACGGGAAGACTTGGAGTGGTCAGCCTTGGCCTCGGTAGCCTTCTCGATGCGGGCACCCAGATCGGGGTTCACACGGTGGAACATGCCGTAGGTGGCCTTGCGAACACGCTCGTGGGCGGCGCACAAGTGAGAGGAAACGTTGTGGACGAAGTTGTCCTGCTGGCCGGGCTGGCGACCCAAGACCTGCCAAAGGCCGTTGGCCTGCACATAGTCCTCATCGGTGACGGGCAGCTGCTCAACAACGACGGAACCGGCCCACTTCTCGTGCTCCTGACTAGCCTTCACGGGCTGGTAGTTGTAAGGACGGAAGGTGGAGGGATAGTTGGGGTTGGCTCCGTAGTTGCCGTGCACGTTCATGTACCCATCACGGTGCCAGGGGCTGAACGAGCGGAGCGGGCAGTTGACGGGGATCTGCTCGTAGTTGCCGCTCAGACGGTGGCGCTGGGTGTCAGGGTAGGAGAAGAGGCGGGACTGCAAGACAGGGTCGGCAGAGGGCTCCACGCCCGGCACCATGTGCGAGGGGGAGAAGGCGGCCTGCTCAACCTCGGCGAAGTAGTTCTCGGGGTTCTTGTTCAGAGTGAGCTTGCCGAAGCGGCGCAGAGGAACCTCACTCTGAGGCCAGACCTTAGTCAGGTCAAAGACGCTCCAGCGGAACTTCTCGGCCTGCTCGGGGCTCAGGACCTGGACGTAGCAAGTCCATGAGGGGTTCTCGCCACGCGAAATAGCGTCGAACAGGTCCTGGGTGTGCCAATCGGGGTTTTCAGCCGCCAGGCGAGTGGCCTCCTCGTTATTGAAGGTCTTGTTGCCCTGATCGGTCTTCAGGTGGATCTGGACGTAGTTGAAGGTGCCGTCGGGCTTGATCCACTTGTAAGTGTGGCCGGAGTAGCCGTTCATGTGGCGGTAAGAGTAGGGCGTACCACGGTCACTAAAGAGGTGCATGACCTGGTGAACGGCTTCTTGGTGGGTGGAAAGGTAGTCCCAAAACATGGTGGCATCCTTAAGGTTGGTCTGGGGGTTGCGCTTCTGGGTGTGAATGAAGATGGGGAACTTGGCGGGATCACGGAGGAAGAAGACAGGGGTGTTGTTGAAGACCCAGTCCCAATTGCCCTCTTCAGTGTAGAACTTGATAGCGAAGCCACGGGGATCACGCGCGCTGTCCGCAGAGCCCTTCTCACCACCGACGGTTGAGAAGCGAGTGAACAGCTTGGTTTTCTTGCCAATGCCCTTGAGCATGTCGATGACGGTGATGTCGCTGATGTCATCGGTGACCTCGAACTCACCAAAGGCGCCAGCACCCTTGGCGTGGACAACACGCTCCGGGATTCTCTCTCTGTCGAAGTGTGCGAGGAGGTCGATCAGGTGGAAGTCCTGAAGCAGAAGGGGTCCGTTGCGGCCAACGCGCTGAGCAGCCTGGGGGTCCATAACCTGAATTGTGTCAGTCTTTTAGCTGTGACTAGGCCATATGATGTCGGCGTAGCATACTGGACAGCCATTGGAGGTGGTGTAGATGGGCATCTCATTGTAGCGGTAGGTCTCTATAGGACAGACCCGAGTTAGTCTTTCTGTTACGCTTCAAAAGGACTAAAAGGCAGGAAAGTATCAACATACTGGGTTGGTCGTCCTTGCCCATGGTGACGGTATGTGATGTGAGCTAATTGAGAGTAATGCAAGAGGAACAAATTGAAGATTGCGACAAGCCGGGGAGAGGAAGATGTGGTCCGGCGGGCTAATATAGCTGAATGCGGGGTTTAAGTAGATTGGAGAGCTAGCAGTGGTTCGTTGATGGGGACAAGGAAGTCCTTGGGAGGAATGCGGGGAGTAAAAAAGGCCACGAAATGAGGTCCCAATGAAGGAAGAAGTAATTGCAAGAACTGAAGCAGCAGCGGCAAGGGAAGAAGAGATTATAAGAAAAAGAGCAGACGATCCATTGAAAGATTTGAAGGCTGGTGGCTCGTCGCCGAGGGAGGCAGATGGGGAACCCCGTGCAGCAACAGCCAATGATGATGCCGGGGAAGGTCAACGCGGTGGTTCCACGGAATCGCCTGCCTCGATCAGTCCCGCTGCCTGTCCGATTTCCCGCCGGTTCAGGTACTATGACTTATGCCATTGACCTGAGATCAATTGATAGTTGAGCTCACTTATAGAACTCTATATTAACCTGAAGCTGTCCAAATGCTTCTGAGCAGCAATGAAAGAAACTCAAAGATTCATTTGCACATTAACTTTTCTCGGAAGCACGATTGAAACAAACAAAATCACCCAAAAGGAGCTTTCCGATACGCTAATTTACCCCGCACAGTTGCAGCCAATTCCTCCAGGGTGTCCACCAATCAGCACCATCTCGATGTCAGAGTGTCGACCAAGTCTAGATTTCCCCGCGTTATTTCCACTGAAGGGGAATTGACGATATTATCTATATTGAGGAAGATGTGGAGGATGGCTCTGTTCTAGATAGTTCACTAATATAAGTGGTGTGGTGTGGACGGAGATCCTTAACACGTAACCACCTAGACGAGCACTGAAACGGCCCGAGGTGGGCATGCAAAGGCCCCGGGAGTCTACAAAATGCGCAAAAAATCGAGGTTAGTTTATCCGCTAGTGATTTAGTTGGCTGTTGTGGTCTGATAAAGTGATAATCAATCTTAGTCAACGGACCTGGCCAGAAGTTTCCTGCCTTTCTGCAGCCCGCCAGCCCTGCAGGCACTAATACTCAGTAATGGTTGGCCGTCTGGACCTTCCGCGATCCCCATCGTAGAAATCCTATCCGGGCGTATTTCTTGCCTCATTGGGAAAGTGGCTGACTTTGTTGTTTCTCTGCAAGAGGAAGGCAATCCTGTTTGACCTTCCTAATCAGGTGATGTGATCCTTCGAGCTGTTGTTCGTTCGCTGTTACCTAAAATAGTTATTAAACGAGATCTTCATGATAAAGATAGCTAGCTGGATGAACAGTATATGATCAAGGGGAGCAAAGTGATGATGTTTCGATCGCGATAAAGATAACCCCCACATTCTTCGGAATACAAGTTTCCCTGTATAATTCTCTCTGCTCAGGACCTTTCAATTCGCTACTGTACGATACTCATGAATACAATTGGCCGAGGTAACCTGTTGTCCGTCTCCAGCACCAATTGCGGCTATGATTGTCGGCTTGTCAAGTCAATATGACGATCACCCGATTCCTTGACATTATTGCGAAAATGATTTCTCTACCGACAGCTACGTCAGATTCAACGGGGAGTTCCCCGCGGAAAGCTCCGCCCTCCGAAGCGGAGCGAGATTCTCCTAGTGGAATAGGAACCCGAACAGCAGATGCCTCGGAACACCCGCCCGCTCGGTTCCGATCGCGTTCATGCGAGTTTCTAGTTTACGCTTCATGCTTTGAGTTTTACTCATCCTCAGAAAGTCAATTTGTCCTGCAAACACGCAATTCATATTGATACAGTCAAATCAGTCATTAAGCCATACCCATTTGAGCGAGAAAACAATTAACATCCGTCAAGCCCATTACATAGCAGATTCATCAAGTCATGTCATATCCAACCGGACCTCGCCGTCACCTTTACTTCCGATCAGCATTCGCACCGGATCTGTCGCCATTGATGCTGCTAAGGATGTCTCCAGTCGACTGTCCGACGCCCCGGGTTGTGTTGCCCAGGCCTTCAGTGGCACCGCCAACAGTCTTTCCAAGACCCTGAGTCGCACCGCCGGCAGTCTGACCGAGTCCTCCCACAGTGTTTCCCACAGTGTCTCCGAGTCCTCCTACAGTGCTTCCGACAGTGTCTCCGAGTCCGCCAACGGTCTTTCCTAGGGTATCGCCGACGCCTCCAAGGAGGTTCGCTATATACTTACGCATTAGCAACAGATGTGTAATGGTATCGAGGTATTATGGGATTTGGTACCCAGGGGTGCGAGAACTTCATAACGCGACCGACTAGTTAAGTCAAAGCACAAACAAGGGAGAATATAACATAGGAACAGTAGGTGCGAGGGTCGATGGTCACTTACGGTTGTTGTTGTTATCGTTGCCAGAAGACATGACGTCGATATCGCGGCAGCAAAGCTATTTCAGTGAGGAAGTTCTTGGAGGAAGGAAAAAATATTTTGAATGGAAAGTGTGATCCTTAACCAGACTGACGATGCAGTATAGATCAAAGTAATCGCTAAATGTTGTGATAACTGTTCTTTTTATATATCAAGGTACATAGGCACATGTGTCCAATACCCAAAGTCGCCACGGGACGCTCCATCCCCCTATGATATCATCGTGTTCTGAAACCAAGATGGTACCACAACCCGCAACCAATGGATTCGGGAAATCGAAGATCTGATGGCATCGCCTGATGACGCTCATCCGCAACATGATGAAATAAGGCCCTGGCCGTTATGACAGTGGCGCGACGACCCCTACCTGCGATACTGGTTGTGGTGCTTATTGGTCCCCACAGACATTCGCATACGTAGGGAATGTGCGAGTAAATATGGTACTATAGCAGCACGAGACCACATCTTTCTAACCAGATAGAGGGTTTAGGCAGCGACGGGAATCATCTTCCTAGCCAACCTGTACTGTTAGAAACAGTTGCCCAACAACTATCAACCAAGCAGATTGATTTGGGCAGTTGCAGTATTGGGACTCATCCCTTCACTCTGGTCCAACTGGTCCACGCCGGTCGATGGCTAGTACTAATCACCAGTGACTACCAGTAGAGAAATGGCCCGTCAGATAATTGATAGGAACGGGCTTATGTTCTAGTACGATCCGCCTGAATTCAGATTGCACAACATAGCCGTCAATCACTTGTAACTCACGGACGAACAGAAAAATGCCCCCAATATCAACTTGAATCAAATAACACCTTGTACCGTCGCTCATAAATGTATCCCTCCTATCTATCCATCACCCACCCCAACTTCACCACCCTCCAAAGCCTGTTCCGACTTAGGACATGGGAACCTAGAAAGTTATCCTCCAAATGACCAGGGGGCTGTCAGGGTATTAGCAAATGCACGTGATCGAAGGTCTCCAAGTTACCCAGCCTATGTTCAACGAGCTTTTTTTTGGGCACCCTCATTCTCTTCACCTGGATAATCGCTTTTTGACCACCTTGACCCAACCGTGTCCTTCAATATTCACATCAATCCTGTGTCTTATTCCTTCCTTCTTTCCACCCACATGAAGCCTGGTTCTATCATATATATTGTTGTTAGTACTATTGCAGTGGGGCGGGAGGGGGGGCGGCATGTAGACATGGATGTATATGGTAGACGTACTCAGTAACTCGACCACATTCCGAACCACAACAGGATAATTTTCCTCTTTCAATGCCACGACTAACAATCGCAGGTGCACAAGATCGTACCGTCCACGTTGTTCCTCGGGAAACCGACCACGCATGTCATGTACCGAGAAAAAAGTTTCATGGGAGGGGTTGACGTCCTTCGTGAACGGGTATTGCGCGGGCGAGATGTCGAAGCCGTGGAGGTAGAGGTGGTTGGAGGGGGAGGGGGTGGGGTGGAGGGCGTCTGTTACGGAGGCGAGCCAGATCCTATTTCTCTCACCTTGTTAGACCTCGTCTTTCTTGCGTTTTTTTATAACGTTCAGGGTTTGTGGTTCTCCAGCACCCCCGTGCCGGTAGCGACAGCTCGCCATGGTGCATGATAATAAGTACGTAGGGAATGATAGCGTAGAGTCCACCAACAGTCACACAGTTTACAGCAAGAAAGAGAGGTTGAGAAAAGAGATGAATTAAGACAAGGGAAGATGCGATCTCAAATACCATTCACATCCGCCGCCGCTGTCCCTCTCCCAGGAGTCCGGAAACCCCCCCCCCCCCCCCTCACACGCCCTCTCACACGCCCTCTCTAGTAACCTCACTAGTCCCCTCTCCGATACAAGCAGAGACATGCATCCCTCGCAGAACGACGAATCCCCTGGCGCGACGATTCACTCCAGCTTGACAATCCCGCGAGTGGTGGTGGATCATCAGCCTATTTGGGAACTGTGATACCATGTCCTGATCTTACAGACCCGTCTGAAACTGCATTCCATGTCCTGTTGTAGAGAGACTAGTTATCAAAACCCAGTTGCGGGAGCAAGTCAGGGACTTTGCCGGTATAGGCCGCTTATGACAAAAAGAGCCAATCGACAAGAGCAATTAGTATGAATAATTATATTAGATCTCCGAGCTTAGGGTTGGGAAAAACAGTTCGCTCCAAAACACATCTTGGATCCTGCTCTTCGCGTGTGCAAGGCCGTTGGTTCTGATACTTCCTACCTATCTATCCTTTCAAGATGATATCAACAAGGAATAATCATCACGAGTGGCCAGCGATGGATTTTGGTTGATTCTGGACATGTACCGGAGTTTCCTTGGCTAACATATCAATGCTTTTGTTCTGTTGCTTGAAGATCTCCACTTCACATCCACCTCGAAGGATGGCCACTCGTAAAGTTGCCAGGATATTATTTGCGGCGTTTGAATGGAGGTAGACGGCACCATTGAACAAGGTGGTAGCATCCTTCCCTAGTGCCAAGCGCATCATCGACTCGCCTCCAGGGTGTTCATGAATAAACTTCGACACATCGTGAACGACTCCACCGATTAATATTAGAAGATGACCCTGCGTAACCTTATCATGATACTCATCCCACTCCATAACAGGTAGCTTACTGAGTGGCGGCCCCCAGTCAAGGGATTCGCTTTCAATATTCAGTTTCTTGAAGACTTGCTGTAGCCGGCTCTTACCAATCTCATTTTGCCGGAAACGTTTCAAATCATAGGCTAGTCCCAGTTGTTCGCAGAGCTTGATACCCCACTTGGTAATATCAGGCTGATACCATTCAATCCCGTTGCGGTAGTCGGAGGGAAACTCATGGTGGAAATTGTGATATCCCTCTCCCATCGTGATGAGAGCAGTGATGAGATGATCCCGGGATGAGCGGCGGTCATCGTAGGGCTGTTCCCCAATCCAATGAGCCAATGAATTCACACAGAACGTCGCCTGGTTAACAAAAAAAGACCGAAGGATGCCTGCATAGAGGAAGCCTCCGTACCAGTCGTTCCAGCCCAGGCCAGCGACTAGGGTTGGGAACCCCCATCCCATGAAGAAAGCAGCAAGGAAGTAGTACCTATGCTGCAGCACCACCACAGAGTCATTCTGGAGATCGGATATATCCACCCTGTTGTTTTTCCGGGGCTGTTTCGTGATCACCCAGAGAATATGTGCATGCAGCAGACCCTTCTTGACATTATATGGGTCCTGATCTGTGTCAGTATATCGATGGTGGGCTCTGTGTTCTCGAACCCAGAATTTGATAGAACCTTGCACCGCTCCTGCACCAAATGCTGCTAGCAGCCACTTGAGTGTTGGGGAGGCGGAGTAGGAGCGATGGGCCCATAAACGGTGGTATCCTGGGAGTTATTCACGTATCAGTACGATATTACTGGTCTGAATGCTACATATACCCATACGTCAACTGCACTTGACTCGCTACTTGAGGACTCACCTGCGGTCACAGATATTGCAGTTGTAACGTAGTATATAATCGACAGTACCAGTGTTTTCCGATGCATAGGAACCCAGGGAACTTGTAGGAAGGCAATAAGAGGAATGGTTATTAGCATGGTAAAGTTGAACCAACGGACTTTGTTACACCAGGACGAAAGGGTCGTTATAAAATCGTCTTGGTGTGATTGGCCTGCTGTTGGTAATTTCTCAGGCTGGGTGTCGTGTAACCCTTCTATCACCTTAGGATTCATCTTTCTTTCACCCATTGGGACGGTATCTGGAGTTGGGGGAAATCTCTGGAAACAGGAAGCTAGAAGCAGTTCGCTGGACACATCCTGGTGGAAGACGCCCGTTGTTAAATATATCCACTTTGTGGGATGCTTAGGTCGAGGCATGCAGGCAACGTCATCTCTCTAAACTTAAATCTCGATATTTTCTAAGGTTGTCTGGTGTCCTCCCTGTCTTAATTTTCGTTAATTTTTTTAATGGATACGTCCAACGACAATAGAGTGACCGATGTATATCCCATTATGCCTAACATCTTGCAGAGACAAGTATAATATTTAGGTCAATACACGGTGAGTACTTACTCGACTGGCTAAGATGTGAGCCAAGCAGGTCTGGTTGACGAGGTTTCTCCAGTCAAACAGAAGGTATGGCCACATCTCATCGCTGCCTACGGAGAAAAGGATGCCATTTCTTGGTACTACCGATGGCAGATCTTTTTTATTGCATCTGCATAATGCACTAACTGTGAAGGTGGTCGCCTTCCTGGCAAATGAATTTCTGAAGTAGTTCCTGGTGTGACACCGTTACCTACGAGCAGCCGATGATCACCTGAACGACTACCTCTAAATCGGAAGCTCTGTTACGGGCAAAACTGGTGTAAAACTCCGGCGATAGCACTTGAAAATCCAGAAACTGCACATCATCAGATGATTTATTTCAAGCCGAAGGAGACCGCATACTTTCTGCGGGGTCTGCGGCAAGGCCCCCTGCTATTCCTGTGGATCCATACCGCACCGTAATGGGCATTCAACCTATGCCCTCCTTTGGGGCTAGAGGCTGGGGCTGCATCAGAAGTCTTCTCCATAACCGTAGTTTCATCGCTTCAAAAACAATGCGCGGGCCAATAAGAAACCGACCCATCCCCATGAGAGAGCAATTCGATACTTCTCCCTTTAGCAGAGAGCAGACGACTTGATCTCCTGGCCCCTTGGAACGAATGCTCGCTACCATTTTAATCCTACCTTCGGGGGTCATCAATGAAATCCTGCTATTAAGGGGGGTTTCCCCGGATATGGTGGCCAGGGGATCTATTATAGAAATGGAGTACTCTCCTTCCAAAGAATTGAATGGGGAGACATAGAGCTCCTTGATGCATTTCGAGGCCACCATTGTTGGTGCATCGCGCTCAATACTGAAATTGCGAAAAGGTCGCGTGGTTGATTTTTCTGATAGTCTTACGTGATATGCAAGACGTTCTTGAAAGGTATTGTTCACTTCAAGTACAAGACCCGTCAATGTCCGTTCCGCAGAATACGTATACCAGTAGGTTGCCCCAAAATTTTAGGAGCGGTAAGTAAATAAACATAAGAGAAGTCTACCATCCCGTTCCAGGCACGAAAACGTACTGCCCCTCGGCCTTCAGTTCACCTCTCCATCGGACAAATGTCCCTATCCAGAGGTACGAATAGGAGAATATATAGATACTGGGAGAGAGACGAGTATGCCTCAGTGTGCATGGATAAAGAGAAGTGTCACACTCTTTTTTTTTATGTGCCTCCAAGTTCATATCATTGCCGGACAAGGATAAATAAATAGTGGTTTGATATCGCAGATGATGGGTCCGGATAGAAATAAAATGTTCATAAGCTGATCCTTGCCAGATACAAATCTGCTAATATCTCTCCATTATGTACAACTTCATAGTTCCTGTCAAGGCGAGTGAGAGTCCATAAGTTAAGCTGCTTCCGTAATATGTGTAATTCTTCCAACAATGACCCAAGGTTAATCGATTACCATTATGAAGCCCAATGAGGGGACAGGAAACGATAAAGCAATCCTCACCGCGAGTTCCCTTCACCGCTAGTTCCCTTCACAAAAAAAGCAACAACCCGAGGCATTTACGTGCGATGCTAGTTCAAGTACGAGCTTTGCAGACTTTCTGTCAGTTGACGTTCATCGCTCGAAGCAATCATGATGCCTATGGACTTACCAATAGATTTCGGATGGATGGAATGAAAGCTACTAGTCCTACAATTTTCCCTTTCCCAATTTCCTAACCGCCTAGCTCTGGTAAAGCGCGCTAGTAGATAGTTGATCTTTGTGCAACTTCGAGTGCGACTTGTCTCCAATAGTCCGTGTACTGTGTTACACAATCCTTAAGGAGCCTGCGTAATCTCTTTCATTTTACGTAACTAGCACCCTGACCAGCTCCGATGTAATTGGAAAGAATAGCTAAAAGGGTAACACAACATATGTACACATACTCATTCCGCAACTGCAAGAAGCTGCATCATTCAGACACTACTATGTGGTGACGGATTTGTGGAAATCAGTCTGTCAGGGGACCTACGTCAATGAAATTGACCTACTACAATTGACCCCAGTACTTTTGTTAGTACAGTGGGAAGGTGCAGGGATCTGAATCCTTTGTTTTCTGCTGTTCATATGATTATCAGTACCCCAGATGGCAAAAGAGGGGCAAGAAGAAAAAGAAATCAGAGTTGAGTCAATTTTCAAAGTTTCGAGCCGCAAAGGGCTCTATGCTGATCGCAAGAAAAAAGATATGTATCAACTTGTCAGGTGCGACGGCGAAGAGAGAGTCCGTGTAGAGGAAAGGGAACATAGGTTGTCATATATTGCATCTGGACAATCCGGGTTCGAATACGCGGCGTGAAAACCCATGACGTGGATCCACTTTCAGCTGAGGCCCAGAGAGTTACCAGAGACTTCGATCTGAGGGCATGGATATTACGATGAAACCTGGGCAATGCCAGGAGATTAGGAAAACACGTGCTGAAAGGCTTTGGCGGAGAATCACGTTACATTCAGTCAATGAATTCAATGTCCACATTCCATCACTGAATGCTCAACCAGCCTTCTTTAGAGTGCCGCCAGTGTTGACCGTTGATGCCCATAGTTAGATCCCTCATTGCGCCCATCACATGTTCCTGCTTCGGCACCCCATGCTCAATTGAATCCCTAACTCCTGAATATTGAATGGCGATTGTTCAACAGAAAATATCAGATTAGGTCTGTATAGGTGCATATATTCTAGAGAGAGTACTTCAATCCCTACGCACGTGATTAATCTATGGTCAATCCTAGCGCCGGTCCAGTCAGCAGGGGCTGTAGCAATTATCGCCAACTCCCATGAATTGGAACGCGATCTCAATCTAAGGGATATCGCCCACAACAATGACATCGACAATGACAGAAGTCAGAACCGACCAGCAACACGCGGCAAGCGTTTCAGGCAATACAGACAATAACGAATTTTCCGGTCCTACAAGTAGGCCGGCAGCCACCTTCGACGCGATAGCCGATAGTGTCAGCCTGCATGGAGAAGCCGAGTATCCCAGCGGCAGCAAATTATGGCTCCTCATGCTCACCCTAGCTGCTGTCCTCATCTTGAGCAGCATAGACATGAACATCGTCGCCACAGCCGTACCTAGCATAACAGACTACTTTTACACTGTTGCAGACGTCGGATGGTACTCCTCTGCCTTCAGACTCTGCCAGTGTTCCTTCCAGTTTGTTTTCGGCAAGGCGTATAAGCTCTTCTCTATCAAGACCGTGTTCTTACTTGCCAATGCCATCTCCATAGCAGGTTCGCTACTCTGCGGCGCAGCCAGTACATCGACCATGCTGGTCGTAGGCCGGGCTATAGCTGGCCTAGGATCCGCAGGCCTTCTCTCCGGGTGCTTCGTTATCCTCGTACAATCAACCCCCTTACACAAACGACCTATGTTCACCGGCATGATGGGCGCCGTCGAAGGCCTAGCTACGCTATCCGCACCACTTCTCGGCGGAGCCATCGTGCAGTCCATTAGCTGGCGGTGGTGTTTCTACATCAACGCACCTCTCGGTGCCGCTACCCTAGCACTAACCATATGTTGTTTCTCCGACCCGCCAAAACCCAGCGCCATCGCCCGCATGGGCCTCAAACAAAAGATCATACAACTCGACCTAACAAGCAACCTGCTATTCATCCCAGCACTAACATCCCTCTTCCTAGCCTTCTCCTGGGCCGGCACCAAGTACTCCTGGCGCAGTGGCCCAGTAATAGCCCCTCTAATCACCTTCACCATCCTCACGGCCGCCTTCATCTACAACCAAAAACGCCTCGGAGACGCCGCCGCCCTCCCCTTCCGCATCATGAAGCGCCGCAGCGTCATCGCCGGCTGCATCTTCATCATGTGCGGTAACAGCACCGGCAACGTCCTCGAATACTACCTGCCCACCTACTACCAAGTCGTACGTGGATACACCCCCGCCAAGAGCGGCTACATGATGCTCCCTATCATTATCGCCGGCACCGTTGGCGCACTCATCCACGGCTTCGGGACCAGCGCTATCGGCTACTACGCCCCGTTCATGCTTTTCGCGTCGATCATGATGCCCGTTGCCGCGGGCCTCATCACCACCTTCAAGATCAATACTAGCTTCGCCGAACTGATCATATACACTGCCTTCTCTGGCTTGGCCTACGGTATTGGTTTCTCCGGTCCGCAGAACGCTGTCCAGACGGTGTTGCCCGTGGAGGACGTGCCGCTGGGTACGTCGATTATGCTGTTCGCTCAGTCGTTTGGTCCCGCTGTGGCGATTGCTGTTGCGCAGGTCTTGTTTGTGGATCAGCTCTGGGTGAATCTGACTGGTCTTGTGTCTGGCGTTGATGGGGCGAGTATTGAGAACAGTGGTTTATCACAACTTGTGGAGAATGTGTCGCCGGCAAAGACGAGGGATGTTCTCGTGGCGATTGATAGAAGTCTCATACAGACGTGGTATTTGGTGATTGGACTCGCATGTGCCACGATGGTGGGGAGTTTGATGATTGAATGGCGGTCGGTGAAATCGAGACGCGATTAGATACCATCCAGCAATACCCTACACAACACTCTATATAAATGGATAGTAATGTTACACTCCCTCACGAAGAAAAAATGCACCCCTCCCCGGATCCCCCACCCTCCCCACCTCCAACAACACCCTCCAAACCCAAACCCCCAAATCCACCTTTTTAAAC